AAGAGCATGTGAGGCAGATCACAAGTGATGGGCTTCATGTGCATTATCTTGACCGCTTAATCCAAAACGAACTAATATCTTTGCTACCTCAAGAAATTAAAAAAGAACTTATCAAGAAGATAAAGGAAACAAAATACTACTCAATCATACTTGATTGTACTCCCGATTCAAGTCACCAGGAACATATGACTATAATAGTGAGGTATTTAACGTTATCATATAATTTTGTTACTATCGAGTAGTCCTTTTTAGGTTTTTTGAATGTTGATGATACCTCTGGAAAAGGACTATTTGATATTACACTTAAAGAGTTAAAGTCTCTTGGTCTTGAAATTGATGATATGTTTGGTCAAGGCTATGATAATGGAGCAAACATGAAAGGAAAACACCAAGGAGTGCAAAATAGATTTTTAGATATAAATCCTAGATCATTTTACACTCCTTGTGGTTGTTATTCTCTTAATCTAACATTATGTGATATGGCTAACAAGTGTGTTAAAGGAAAGATCTTTTTTGGATTCATCCAACGCATTTATACTATCTTTGCAAATTCTACTAAGAGGTGGGAAATTTTGAAAGATAATGTTAAAGCTTGGAGTCTAAAGTCATTGTGTCAAACTCAATGAGGAAAGTCGGGTTGAGAGTGTAAAGGCTATTAAACTTCAACTTGTGGATGTATGGGAAGCTTTACTTCAAGTTGGAGAAAAGATAATGATGTTGCAATTGCAAGTGAAGCAACTTCACTAGCAGAAAAAGAACTTGGTGACTTTGAATTTTTGGTATCAACTGTTATTTGATATGAAGTAATAAACCATGTGAATACTGTGAGCAAGAAGTTACAATCAAAGGATATGCATCTTGATAATGCTATTACAGAAATAAACAAATTGATTGGGTACTTCAAGGATTATAGAGAAACTGGTTTTTCAAAAAAGATTGTTGAAGCTAAGGAGATTGCTATTGAAATGGGTATTGATCCAATATTTCCACAAAAGCGTTTGATTGAAAGGAAAAAAAAGGTTTGATGAGAGTTCAACTAGCAAAGAAGTTTCATTTACACCTGAAGAGAATTTTAGAGTCATTTATTTCTTATTCATTGTTGATCAAGCTATTTCTTCTCTGGAGACAAGATTTGAACAATTCAAAGAGTATGACAAAGTATTTGGTTTTTTATTTCCACATAATTTGAGGGGAATTAAAGATAAAGATCTTAAGTCGTATTGTCATCGTCTTGAAAAAACACTCAAGTTTGAAGAAAGATCGGATATTGATGCCGAGGAACTTTATACGGAGTTGAAATTATTTGAGACATTGGAAACAATGAATTTAGTAACCCTATAGATGTAATGAAGTTTTTGAAAGAACTTGATTATTTCGCAAATGCAAGCATTGCATACAGAATATTGTTGACTATTACATTAACGGTTGCATCTGTAGAAAGGAGTTTTTCGAAATTGAAGTTTGTGAAATCTTACTTACGCTCCACAATGACACAAGAAAGACTTAGCAGTTTGGCAATGATATCTATCGAGAACGAAATCTTAGAGAGTATAGACTATGAAGAGTTGATCAACCAATTTGCAATCAAGAATGCTAGGAGGGCTTCACGGATCGTCGGTTAGCTGTTAGGATATGTAATTACTCATTAAAATACTATGATTTTGTTTTGTTTATTGCTATAAAGTTTATCGTCATTTTAATAAAAAAAAATCAGTTTATGTAATTTAATCGTTACACGTTAAGGCCTAAGGGCCTTTTTTATTCACCTCGTCATGGGCATTTGAATCCTCAAAACGGGCCCTGGTTGCACGAACTAGCCTTCACAAATTTTGCAAGTATGTCATGAGATTATATGGTCCACGATATCTGTGCATACCTACTTGTAGTGACATCCAACAATTGTATACTCATCACTCAAACGTGCACGGCTTTCCTGGAATGTTAGGAAGCCTAGATTACCTCTACTGGGCATGGGGTTGTTGTCTGAATGCCCATAAAGGGCAATACACCTGAGGCGATCATGGTTATCCAACCGTTGTACTTGAAGTGGTGGCTTCACAGGATATGTGGATATGACATGCATTCTTGGGCTCAGTTGGCTCCTTTAATGACATCAGTGTTCTTAACATGTCTCCGTTACTTGAAGACATGTACAACGGGACTGCACCCGACTCCTATTTTCAAGTAGCTGGAACATCGTATATGAACGGGTATTATCTTGTGGATGGGATCTATCCGGAGCGTGCTTGTTTTGTGAAGTCATTGTCTTGTCCAAATTATCGAAAAATGTTGAAGTTTAAGAGAGCTAAAGAGTGAGCGAGAAAGGATGTTGAACGAGCATTTGGAACTTTGAAAAAACGTTGGCATATTCTTAAATATCTCGCGCCGTATATGGAGGAGAAGAAAATGAGCGAGGTGATGTATACTTGTATCATATTGCATAATGTAATTCTCGAAGACGAATGAAATGCAATATGTGAGTATAACGAAAACGAGATCGTTCCACCGACACAAGCTTTTGAGGTTGGAAGCGTGAAGTACATGTCGAGGAGGGCATTAGTTCATGATGTTCAGACGCATCATGTTCTTCGTAGGGACTTGACGGAACATATTTGGAACGTCAACCACATCGATCTTAACACGAAACTGGTCGACGATTTGGAAGGTCAATTTTCCAATGAAGATGTTCTTTAGGTCTATCTAGGTTTGGTAATTTTAGTTTGTATGTTTTTTATTTTAAATTCTATTTTTTTTGGTGTGTTTGTTGTTTTTTTGAATTTCTATGTTTTTATTTTGAAGTTTAATGAATTTTTAGTTTTAAAAAAATGCTATATTTGAAATATTTATTTTGTATATTTAAAAAAAAAGAAAAGATAGCATGGCAAGTGTGGCAACCTGCGCCTAACAAATAACAAATTTTGGCTAAAGTGTGGCAAGTGTGACGTGACGCTTACGTGGACCGTGACATGTGTGGCACCGTACCCACTAGCCTTATTGATGGTAAAAATAAGCACTAGGCACTCGCGTATTCCATACACAATGCAAAACACAAGATTAGCAACATTTCAATAAAAGAAAGTAAATATCCTCCTACATTTTATTCCTACTTATATTCCTACCATATCAAATGTTGACATGTGTCATATTTAATGACACATTTAATGAATGAGGATATTTAATTTCTCTTTCAATAATTATGGAAAAATCTCAAAATATTTACATTGCTACAAAATCATCAAATTCGATAAGCTCAAAGCAAAACTTCCAATATAATGCAATTTTGCAATGCATGTATGCTTCTATATATTCTCAAATGCCAAAGTCATATCAAAGTCTAAACTAGGGATGAACATAAGTCGGTTTAGGTCGGTTTTTGGCTAATACCAAACCAAACCGTAGAAAGTCGGTTTTCGGTTTGTAAAACCATATAGGTTCGGTTTTTGCATGGTTCAGTTTTTCGGTTTTCCAGGTTGGGTTTTCGGTTTTAAACCGTGGGCTTATGAACTCCTGTTTTTTTTTCTAGTTTTTAGGTTCAAACTCAGTCAAAGTACGTTGCGATAAATAATATTGTATCTACTTTAAATATACTAAAATAAAGAGTACGAATTATAGTATTCTAAAAGCATAAAAGTGTTCAAAAGATCAAAGTTTAACACCATTAACAGTTTGTTGAAGATAAACATAAAGTAATAAAGAGATAAAATCTAAAGTCTAAAATTAAAAGTTTAAAACATAATACCAAACCGTTATTTTTCGGTTTTTGTAAAATTCAAACCTAAATCGTCGGTTATTGCTTTGGTTTCGATTTTTCAGTTTCGGTTATGTCGGGTTTTTTTTCGGTTTTCGGTTCGGTTTTTGCTCATCTCTAGTCTAAACATCTCACAAATGATGTCTAAAAAAATTATATAGCTGTTCAAAAAACAAAAAAATGATGCCTAAAATTGTGAACATCTATAGATGGCACAACTAAACACATCTTATGCACGTTCAAATCAAGTAGGTACAAGTGAACAATCACACAATTACCACGAGAGGTTGTAAATTAAATTTGGTGTGCTAGTGAGCCCTCTAGAATGTAATCACAACATTTTTTTTTAACATTTTTCAAATTCCAAAATTTGGTACCCATGTCTTTTGTGGCCACACAAGTTTCAAACTTATCCTAAAGTGGATACATATGATCATTGATCAAAGTTAAATTTCCAAAACAGTAAAGTTTGTTCCCATTAAACAAAAACCCTTTACAAAACTCATGCTGTGAATGCACACGATATTATAGATAGTATTTCACACATATGTAGAAAGGGACATGTGTTCTTTGGTCGCAGTTCCTCTATTCCATTTCTATTGATAAGTAGAAGCTTATTTGTCACCAAAAAAACAAAGTTATTACGTAGATAATCATTAATTAACATCATAATGATCACACATTCCCAACTTGAGTTTGGAGAGAAGGAGGGTGTTAGAGTGTATTTCGCTAATTTTGGATTTCTCAGGGTTACCTTGCATTTTTTGGTAATTTGTGATTATCAAAGTTGAACGGTGATTTGTCATAATTTTAGTGGGTAGGATTTTTTGGTAATTTGTGATTATCAAAGTTGAACGGTGATTTGTCATAATTTTAATGGGTAGGAATAATTGTAGGAATAAAAAGTAATAGGATATTTAATTTCTCATTTATAAATACTTTATTTCAGCAAGGTATTTGACATTGTATTTTGTTACGTTGTAAATTACGTTTTCTCTACATCAATAACACATCAACGAATTCAAGCCTCCATCTATTTCTCAATCCCTTTCGTCGATCAAATCATATTCCACACATGAATCCTAACATGACCATTAGTTTATATCTTTTAGCAAGTCTTTAGTTTTGTTATCAGTTAGCCCGACCTATTTTGATGTTTCAGAATTCAGATGCGTTGTTTATTACTATCTCTATGCAACAAAATTGTCACTAACATCAAAAGTTGTACGCAAGCAACAAAAATAGTAACTTACGCTGTAAAATGATCTGTATATCATGTAATAAGTTCATACATCTGTTAACTCCAACTCGATCGGACCTAATATATCATCTACTCCACAAGATTTACTTACTCCATCTACAATATAATTTTATTTTACTGTGAATTCTATAACAATAAGTTATAACCCCAATCAACATTTTGTGTAAAAAAAAAGTTAATTCCATATTTGCTCATCACATTCACCACATCCTTCTTGAGCAACATCATCAATCTGTACGCCGGAATCATAAACACCTCCGATCTTCCAATCAGCCGGCAAAACACTCTTGGCCCAAATCCACTTTCCGTCATAGCCGGAGGTCACCACCAGCCGGAGTTGCAGGGCACCTGCCGGAGCTCTACTCGTGTCCCAAACAGCCCCATAATTTCTGGTCAAATAAGTCCAGCTTGACGAACCAACCTACAGAAGAAAGTCAAACCATGAATTAGAGGTAAGTACAAGTGTATTGCATGATTGTACAACTTGTATTGCATGGCTTTTGACTAACCTGCGCAATGTCAGCGCCAACGATTTCGGTTTGACCACCTTGGTATAGGAATTTGAGTGCAAGATAATTAGGCTTTTGAGTAGATTCTTCAACTCTTACAGTGAAGTTCTTGCCTTTGAAATCACATGGTACTCTGTTTTAAGGGATACAAAATCAGGTCAAAAAAACTTTAAGTAAAACAATTATGAACGTATTATTATGGAATAGCAATTGTTTTTTTTTTTTTAAATACAAATTGAAAAGGTTACATTTAGCAAGAGTGAACTTTATATGGGATAATCAATGATAACTAAAACTACAAGAAGTCATAATTTATACATGTTGTATCAATGGCAACTAAAACTATGGGGGTGTTTGCTTTATGCATATATATATGTATGATTGTCCAAATAGAACTAAAACTCAAAAGAGTTGTACTTATGGCAAACTAAAACTAGAAAACGTTGTATTTTATGGTTATGCATGCTTAAAAAGGGTTGTACTTTATGCATGTATGATTGTACCATGACCAACATAGACTAAAAAAGAGATGTACATTGACACATTGTGCATGTATTATTATACCAAGGACAACCAAGACTCAAAAAGTTGTATTTTTAACCATGCATGATTCTAACAAACTATCAATGGCAACTAAACCTTAAAAAGGATTGTACTTTATGCATTTGTGATTGTACAAAGTGCAACCAAGACTCAAAAAGACTTGTACTTTTTGCATATATGATTGTACCAATTGACTCAAACTCACCTTCTATACTCCACGTTGGCAACACCAAGTTTCAACAAGTTTTTGCCCATGTCCTTATTAGCCATGGCCATGAAAGCTCTACCACTCAACACAAAATCCGTCTCATTGTTTTTATTCTCATCAGTTACTATCACTTGAGTCCCAGTTTTGCTACACAGCTTAGAATCCAGACATCTTACCTGCAAAATTACATCCATACCCCCATTCAGCACACAAAATTCACACAACAATATGCTAAACACCAAGGCCAAGAATGTAAATATAAGAATTCCTAACCTGGAAACAAGCCCCACAACCCGACCCGGATTTGTAAAGGTTGGGAACAGCAGCAGCAAGGTGGCTACCATAGAAGCTAGCAGCAGAGGAACCATACCCACATGCTCCAGCTGCATTAATTTCAGAAATTAATTAATACCCATTAAATTATTTGAAGAAATATTATCTGGGTCGATCTCAAAATTAATTTTTTCAATTAAAAAAGAAGTTGGGTCATAATCGATGATCATCAAGAAAGTGATTTACTCGTGGATTAGAAAGAATGAAAGAAAAAAGATTAATTTTTACAGCAAAATTTACTTAAAAAACGTCGGTTCGTGAACACTCACAAGTTTATTTCAAGAAATCTTTTCTTGGTCAATCGAATAATCGATTATATCAATTCAAAATCCATATGGGTCGTGATCAAATTGATCATCCATTACAAAGTAAAGAAGATGGTAATTAAAAGTTTCTTACAAGAAAGAGAAGAAGCTTTGGAGAAGAAGGCAGCTTTGCTTTGATGAAGGCATCGATCACAAGCATTTGTGGTGGAGGAAATGGAAATGAAAAGAAAGAATAGGTAGAAGAATCCCATTTAGTTTAGTGTGTGTTTTGGAAGAAGAAGGAGAATAAGAAGGTAAAGAAGAAATGGATTACAAGTCTATTTATAGTTTTTTTTTTTTGGGATTTTTATTTTAGTTTTTTGGTGTACGCGTGAAAGAGAAATGGATTACACTTTAACACGGTTATGGTTATCATCAAAATTTCTTTACAGTAAATGCAGTCTAATGCGATTATATATTTACATGCATAGAGCATTAAATTAATACATTCTTTGTTGTTTTAAAATTAAACATGGATTAGGATTACAATTATTAACTTTTTGAACGGTTTACAATGTTCGTTTAATCTAAAAATAACTTTTTCTAAATACTTAGTACATAAAAAATAATAGTTTATAAGCATTTATTGTACTTTAGACAATTTTTTATCCTTAAACATAATATATAATAAAAATCGAATAGATTTTAAATAAAATAATTTGAAACTGTCACCTGTAAAAGAATATAATATATTTGTCTAAAAATCATTAAGATATTAGCTAAATTTGGTGAGAGGAATGATAGATATCAGAATTCTTTTTTCTAAGAATATATATTTAACTATTAATCATTTTTTTTAATTATGTGTCAAACCAGATATTTTAATGTCGATGCATAGAGGGGGTCATGCTAAATAAACAATCATGGATTAGAGATATGGGTGGGGAGGGGAAAAGGGAAGTGGTCTAGAGAAGTAGGATAAATTGTTCCTCTCCATAGATTTATATTTTCTTTTATGTTATTCAATTATTAGGGCTCTACATATTGGTCTAATGATAATTACACAGGATTTCGTATTCCACATTTTTCAATTTTAGGCTCGGCGTTGTTTTAACAGAATTTATCAAACAACACATATATATAATATTATAATTCTAAGTTGAATGGTTTCAAATCATCTAAACATTAAGTTGAATGGCTTCAAATCATCTAAACATTTCCAAATTCCAATCGAATACATTTATGTCAAATGTATATACAAATGTAGATTTACATGGACATGATACATCACATATGATGATTTGATACACCAACAAACCTAGCAGTATAGTAAGATATCCTTTTTTTTTAACAGAGTTCAAGCTTGTATGAGACAAGTGAGTTTAAAAATAGATTAGAATGTGTATTATTGTTTTAAAAGAATTATTTTTTTAATACATGATTTCCTCATGAGCTCCGACTCTTTTTCTTATCTTACTAAGCATACTTATACCATTTAGAATTGTTAAATACACAAGTTTCATACGCTTTTATAAATCTCATATCAATATCATGATCTAATTATAACTTTGTTCGTAATAATAAATTTTTATATGCTTTGATGCTATTTCATAAGGAAAGATCTTGTATTCGGTTTTTGTTAGTAAATTTTTTTAATTTTAATACAATACAAATAGATTTACAAAATTCGTTTAAATTATATTATATGGATTATGATCATCTGTAAAATTTTAGATTGAATTCTTTTATAACATAAAAAGTAACATTTATACATTTGAATAATAACGCGGAACAAAAAAGAGAGTATAATGCGGAGTGGAGGCAATGGAAAAACAATTTGGTGGATGGAGCTCTTTCACCGACTCTTTTTCCTTTTTCTATAATAAAACCCCATATGTTTTGATTGGTTTTCTTCCTCACAATAATTGGTTTTACACCCACATATTATATTCACAACAAAAATATATTTTCATCCAAAAAAAATTAATATTTTAAGAATTTGATCTTACATATCTTATGTAAAAAGATTTTAATTATTAAAATAATAACTTAGTCGATATAAAAATATGAACAAATTATAAATAATTATAACAAAATGACCAAAAGTACCATTGTTTTAGATTCAATTGCTAAATAAAACCATCTTATTTTTCAAAAGTAGTTGTGTTTGCCCATGAGTTTGAGATGAAATGAAAGGGACAATAGCACAATTACACATTGAAATGGATTTTTTTTAACAAAATGACATATTATCCTTGGTTTAGATGGGTAAGTAAAGTTTGGGATTTGTCGAAGCTTTAGGGTGAGGGTAGGGCTAGGCATAAACAGAAAGCAATGTCAAAGTTTGAAGTTTGGTCAAAGGGAAGAGATGGAGTAAAAGGAAGTCAAAACTAGAATAACACCAAAAATAAACAGCTATTCATTTGCTAATATGTTCCTTACCCTACCCCCAACCCCACCCCACTCCACTCCATATGCCAACCCCTCCCCTACCATTTTTGGTCCACTAAAAATGGCACATCAATTGCAAACAACTCACCTACAACTGTATCTTTGGATTACCATCAACTAAGATCGAACACTCGACCACATCTTCAACAAGCCATGACTCACTTAAAACGAGTGTAAATAGATTTGTTACACATGAGTCGGACAACGATCGAGTTTGACTCAGTGTATGTATAATATGATCAGTATGTCCCACGATGAGAGCGTAGCTAGTGGTCAAAGTATAAAATTTCATAAATAAGATCAAAGGTTCAATACCTCACACACCTAATGTACTGTGATTTACCCCATGTAATGGGCCTGTGACGGGTTCAGCGTAGATCGTCCAAATGATGTGGTTTACTATTTTTAATATGATAAGTGTGTAAGATATATGTGTTAACTCTCTAAAAAAACTTTTATAAGCAGAGACATAAGACTTCAACATAACATTAATTTATATATAGGACATTTATATATATAGGACAGTATCGTATGGATTTGAAATAGAAAAAGTGTACACGTATGTGTTTTCTTACTACCTATGGTTGAAATCACGAATATAAATAAGTTAGAATGAAAACGGATAATTATCACATTTATAGTTTTATATTTATATATGTCTGATTGTGTTGATAGAAAATCGTTTAGTAGGTCAAGTCAAGACAAAAGAAGGTACGGCAAGTGACCAAGTATGACAAAACACTCTCGGTGGCACCAAGTATAATACTACCTTTATGTTTGTAGATATTATTCATTTTGTTGAATACTAATTGTTTTTTATATGGAAAAACTTGTTCGCATCATTAGTGATGGGCAAATGTTGCTACGTTGCCGAACATACAAGTTCTTTTTGTTGTCGTTTCACAAAACATTATTATCAATTATATATTTGTATTAGTGATTCTGGCTATCATGCATTTAAGTACACCAACATTTAAAAGAACGACTTTAGGCAATTTGTCATAGATATTTTACAAATAATATGGTTAAAGTGACTCTTCTACCGGGAGTCTCGAGAATGGGCACATGAATGACTAAATGGACGAAACTGAACAAGATATGGGTGGACCAACAATGCTTGTGAGCGGATTGGTGGTGAACTGTTCTGACGATGAAAAGCTCACCCGATTCAGGCTTTCACTGCTTTAGAGGAATGCTTGGGCTGAACGACATCACCTGTCTGGTTGGCCATTGTAACAGTCCGATGAAACAAGAGAGCAGTCTAGTTATGTGATCACAATTTGATTGGGTTTCGTAAACACATGTTGTTTAAGTTTTTCAGGTGTTGTCAGGGTTATTTTGAGTTATTTTTTAGAATAGTTGTTATTTTCCCAATAATTGATCTATACTATGACTCAAAAATATTGTCATCTTATCGTTTCTTTAATATTAATCTCTTAGTCATGACATCTCCTGTAATTAACTTATTTCAATAGTTTTTTTTATATAAATTTAACTAATTTATTTTCATCTATCCGAAAATATTCTATAAAACCACTTTATTTAATTAGTTCATTTTTAAGCACAAATCATATTTCAATACGAATGTATAAGGAAAATCTCCAGAAAATTCATAATATTTACCCTAATTTACGAATAAGTCTCAAATTAAAATTTATTTACGAAAAAACATTCATTACCGATAAAAATGATGATTTGACATTTTTTTCCCCGGTTTACCGGTTTCATTGCTAATCTGGTTTCCTTATGTCTCATTATTTTACCTTAATTTACGAATAAGTTCTAAACTAAAATTAAGTGATTATTTGATCATTTTCTCTGTGTAACATACATTTTATCGGTTTCATTGCTGACCTAACGTTTAGTCATTAAATGAGCTAATGAGATGAATATGTTGTGTTATATAATGTTATGTTTACCATAAAACTTGATATACTGTTGCATTGTATATTTTTTGGAATATAAAATGCATCTAACGAAAACTACAATAATTACATAAACTAACAACTTTTTCATTTTTGAAGTTTATAAGAAATTTCAAATTGTCTATCTAATATGGATTTATTTAGGGAAAATGACATAAAAGCCTTAAGTTTTCACAAAAATGTCGGTTTTACCCTTGGACGTGTTTTAGTTCCAGTAAAGTCGGATGTTTTGTTTAATTTGTTCATTTATACCTTTAAGTGGTTTCTGTTGGATTTGGTGTCTAAAGCTCATAACTATTATTGGTATGCACTTGATTTGATAGTAGCATGATCTTTTTGGGTTGCCTTCACTCATGCAACTTGACAAGATGACTAGTGGAGAGAGAGTAGAATTTATTATTTGAAATAATAAATTGGTACTCAAAATGATTTTATTAATATATTACAAGATTAATATATTATTTTGAAATCATATTATTAATTAGTATTTAATCACAAATTAATTTGATATTAATTTTAGGATTAAAGGAACTTATTAATAATGGAGGGACTGTTTTGCAAATCATTGATAGTTGTAAAACTGGGCTAATGGACTCATTAATTAGGAGTTGACAAAATCCTATAGGGAGGCCCTATAGATTTCGTCCAAGGCCTACTGGTAAGAGGTCCATGGGCTGCTTAAACCTTAAGCAGGAAATTGAGGTTTCCTCTAGAAACCCTAGCAGCCCTCAGCCATATATAAACCCTTCAGGTCATTAGAATTTCGGCCCTGAGCATGAGGTTCTTACCCTAGCTGGTTTTTCTAGTGTCTCTCCTCTCATCTTGTTGCATTGGGTGTTTGTGAACCGTTAGAGGTGCAACATTTTGGGCACTAAGCTTTCAAGAGTCAAGGATCATCAAGATTGACTTGTTATTACTATATAACAAGTGAGGTAATCT